CTATTGAATCCCCAGAGAGCCCTCGCGTGCAGTTGGTTCAGGGCTTTCTGGGATTTCTCTTCCCAGATGTCCTCTTGGACATCTAGGTAGTTCCCAGAGCCTGACACAGTGATTCCCAAATATTTGTAGCGCGTGTCCTTTGGTATATCCTTACCTTGGATTTGTAGTGTCCTCTCCGTACTATGACTGCACTTTGAGAATATTACTATCGCACTCTTGGTTGGGTTGAAGGTCAGTTTCATCTCGTCCCCAAACTGTGACGTGATTCCTAACAGTTCTTCCATTTCCGAGAAGTTTCTCCCGATCAGGATCAGGTCATCGGCAAATAGAAGTCCAGCTATGTTGAGATATTTCTTTTCTCTAACATTCCAGAAATCTCCTCTCTTAGCCACTCTGAACCCATGACCAGTCTTCTGTAGCCTTTCTTCGAGAGAGGAAATGTAGAGTAGGAACAGGATAGGACTGGCAGGGCAGCCCTGGCGAAGACCCTCTGAGGTCTTTATCCACGTCGATGAGTGTTCTCCGTGTACCAGCTTGCTTTTGGTATCTGAGTATAGACGACGGAGCAGTCCTATCCATGTGGGGTTCATTCCAAGATTCTCTAAGGTTCTCCACAGGATCTCTCTACATACCCGGTCATAGGCCGCCGAGCAGTCTAGAAAGCAGCACACCAGTCCCTCTTTCTGGTGTCTGGATAATTCGATAGCGCTCGTGAGGACGAATAGGTTGTCCTCGCCTCTCCTGTCTTTCCTAAAACCGGCCTGCATTTCTCCCAGTATATTGCTTCTCTCCATCCATTCTGAGATCCTAGACCCTAGGATCTTCATGAATATTCGGTATAGCACTGGGGAAATCGTAATTGGACGGTAGGTCAGAAGGTCCCCTTTAATTGAGTTCGGCTTCTCTAACATGATCAGCCTCCCTTCCTTCCAGTCCGGGGGGATCTCCTCTGAGCCCTCCAGGATTTTGTGAAGAGCTGAGTTATATAACTTCGCCCAACTTCGTCCAGATCCTTGACTATGCTGCTGGGAATCTTATCGAGTCCCATTGCAGATGCTTTCGATAGGCTCGTCAGTGCTTTCGACACGTCCGTCTCCGTCACCGTTATTCCGATCGTTTCCCTCCGCTCCATGCGGGGGACTTCATCGATCGGGTGTTTAGCCTCGAGGAGTTTTTCTCCGATATGCGTGAGGTGGTGTCCTCTGAGGTTCGCGGGGATCTCTCTTCCCCTCTCATCCTTCAGTTTTTCCCTTCTCTGCTCGCTTCTGGTTCCTCGATTCACAATCCGCCAGAAACGCCTGCACTTCTCATGTCTCGGTGCGTTGAGGACGAAAGCCAGGGTTTTTCGTTCCCTCTTCCGCAATTCGTCTTCCACCGCTCTCCTCACCCTTTGTTGTTGAACTCTGTAAGCTTCGAGGGCTGCCTCCTCCCCCAGGCCAGCTTTTCTCGCCGCTCGGTAGGTTCGGTTGGCTTTCCTTCGACGTCTGGTCTCCTCTTTGATTTCTGTCGAGTACACCATCGGGCGATCCCGTATTTTCAGCGTCCGGCGGGCTCGTTCGGCCGCTGCGGTGATCTCGCTTCTCAGTTCATCGTAACTCACGTTGCCTCTCAGCATTGACCCCCAAAGCCCCCTCTGGGCTAGGGTAGCAGCTTTCCATGAGTCTATTACAGACAAATGTCTCACGGTGTTTTGCTTAAAACCACCGATGTTACATTTAACTGTTATGAGGTTGTGATCTGAGATGCTTGACAACAGTCTTTTGTCGTCAATGTACATGTGTTGAACGGTCTCCACTGCTCCGGGGCTGCCCAACACATAATCAATGACGGCAGACTTCCTTGTATATCTCCCTTCGCATCGCTCGCTGCCGTTGAGAATTAAGAGATCGTTCTCCTCTGCGAAGTTCTGTAGCAACCTTCCCCGCATATCTGATTTCCCATCAAAACGGGGGATGTGCCCATTCATGTCTCCTCCTATCAGAATACAGTCCGTGCTCTCGCACTTGGACCTGATCAGGTTGGAGATTTCAGCATACATTTTAGCATTCGCCCCTCTTAGTAGGTGTGCTACGTACACCCCTACTAAGATTAAACGTTTCTTATTGCATCTGACAGCCGTGGCAACCCAGTCTTCTCCTGACTCCGACCATTCTACGTCGAAGTGCGAACTGAGTAAAATGCCAACGCCTCCCGTAGGGGGTTTTCCGGCTTTGGCCCTCCTATTGCTTCCAATCCACTCGAAACCTCGAATCTTCGGCGGCTTCTGTAGGTTCGTCAGGTGGGTCTCTACGGCTATGAAACAATTCATCCCCTCTCTCCTAAGGATATCTAGTTCAATCCGAGCCCATTTCGAGTAAGAACAGCCGTTGATGTTCAAAACTCCGATATTTATTGGAAAATCAGTCCCAGGTGTTCGTCCCTTCCTGCTTCTCCTCGAGCTCCTCCGTAGTATTTTGTGGGCAGGTTTTCGTGCTCGAAGTCCGGCCCTTGTTGTCCCGCCACCCCGCTCTATGCTTCGCCATGCTTGGTCCGGCCCAAAGTGGAGTGCGGTTTCGACGCCGTTAGGAACGGGGTTTGTTCTTGGGCGGCTTACCAGAGTATCCTTGCGGATTGGGTTTGCTCGGCTTCCGGCTTCCCTCAGCCCCTCTGGTCTCTTCATGTCGGGTTTTGGGAATCTTCCCTTTTCCGCCATCGCCCTTCCCTGTCCTACCGTCTCTCTGGCTGCCTTTGCGCTTGGTCCCCGCCCGGTTCGCAAGTGCTTGTTTTCCGGCCTCTTTGACGGCCGCGGCTTTCAGTTTTCGGAGGTGTTCTTCCTCCTTGACCTTACGCGCCTTTTCTCTTTCGATTTTGGCAGCCTCCTTCTTCTTCACTTCTTCCATCAGTTTCTCCTTGTTGATTTGTATCAACTTGCGAGTGTCATCATCAGGATTCAACCTGGCCGTGATGCGCTCGAGGAGAATGTTTTTGATTACAGTATAGCCTTCGCGGGTATACGTGGCCTTGTATGGATCATCTTTCCCACTCTCCACGTCAAGGAACCTACGATCTTTCGAAATGTTCCGAAGGTCAATGAAGTCAATTTCCCCTCGAATAACCTCAACGCTATCCTTGAGAAAGCTATTGACCTCGGCGATGTTTTGGCATTCGCGGTGTTCAACCATGGAACACATCGAGATACTGAGCACTCTATCGGAGTACCGTCTCAATGCTACGCACGCCGTGGCTATCGCTTTAGCGATGTTTGATCCATTTAGTCCCTTCGGCACGCCATCTCTAACGTCCTTGGAACCAGACATGATGAAGAGATGTACGTTGCCGTCCTTCTCTTCGTCTAGGTACCGCTTTATCCGGTCACAACAATCGGTGATGGACTCTTGGAATGCAGACCACAATCCAAAAGCACCAATGCCTCCAAGCTCCTGCCAAAGATGGACTTCGTCCCTCAATGGAGCCATAGTCCTGTCGCCTACAGCGACTACCGACGTTGGGAAGGGTTTCCTTCTGACCGGCAGAACTGGATCGGTTACCATGGCTTCCCCTTTCTGGGTCTGCTCACGGATATTCTCCTCCAAGCTCTTAATCTTGACCTTAGCCTCTGTGAGCTCTATCTCAAGTTGGCTTCTGAGCTCAGATGCCTTCTTGAGCTTTTCCTCCAGCGCTTCAGCCTTCTTCTGGCCTACTTCTTTGGCGGTTTCGAGCGATTGCGCTGCCAAGCGATGTCTCGTCGTCTCCATTTCCAAAGATTTGGTTCGGGTAATTAAGCCGTCGACTAATTCTTAACCGAACCGTAAGCGCAGCAATCTCCTTGTAAATATGATTGTGTCGCGGCCGCAACACAATCTTTGCACAGCGGCGGCGCATCAGCTGATGTGCCGCTCTGAGTTGAACCGGCTTGGAAACTCATGTGCTTATTTGAGATTGTTCTTTATCACTAAAGTCACAACACTGACGAGGTTGAATCTTCCTGTGACCCTTCACCCACTCCTTCCGAAGCTTCTTGTGCACTTTTCACCGACTTCACTTGTCTATTTTCCCAGGAAAATTCTACTTTTCGCGGGAGCGATCGAACAAGCTGTGTTTACGTCTCGCTAGCAGACGGAATTCGAGTATTGATCGAGGAGGTCATTTCGCGTGAGGAAGTCTATGAGATGTTGAGCGATCAATTTTTCCATCACTTTGCACGCAATTGAGCCTTGGGCTATCGGTCTGTAGTTGGTAGGATCAGATTTGTTGCCTTTTTTGTAGATGGGTGTTACTATGCTTCTACGGAAGAACTCGGGGACCTCTCCGTCATTATAGGATCGCTCGAATATAATGGTAAGGGGCTCGGCCAGGAAGATTGCAAATTTTTTGAAGAAGATTGAGGGAATATTTTCAGGCGTGGTTTGTGATTTTCCGTCGAGATGGCTGAGAAGGTTGTATACGTCGTACTCGGAGAACCGGAGTCGGGTGGATGGGTATGTGGGATTGGGAGCGGGAGTAGATGTTTGAGGGGGTAGAGGAGTCGGGTCGAAGATAGATGCGAAATGTTGTCCGAGGAGATCGGCCTTATCGCGAGCCTCCACGGAAACCTTGCTTGATGATCGGAGAGTTGGGATGGCTTCGTGTGCGCGTATGCGACTGTTTGCATAGCGGAAGAAACCGCGGCTGTTTCTAGGATTCAGTTTCGACTCTGTGAGAACTCGAATCCGGTTAGATGCTTTCTCAAGCTTTAGGGCGAGAGAGGGGTCGAAAGCGGATTGTAGTTTGAGTTTGAGTCGATCTATGTACGATCGGACGGCGGAGATATCGGATGAGGCGGTGTTGGTGGAGGGGATGCATTCTTCTATGATCGATGAGCAATGATTAACGAAACAGTTGTACATGGTGTCAACGTTGGTATAGGGTGCGAAGAGTCTTCGCCAGTATCCGATGGAATTCCACCTTTCTACGAGACATACCGTCGAGGAATGAAAGGGGAAGGTCTCAGGAGGAGTCTGACAATGTGGATCATGACAGTCCTGATTCGGGAGTCATGACGGCACGTTACGTACTCATCTGAGAATTTCGAGAGGTTCCTCATGGCCGAATGAGAGAGGACGTGAGAAATTACGTCGAGTCTCGCGTGGTCTGCCAGAAAATTAAGGCAAAATTCACACAGAAAGTTGACACCTTGTGTCTCAGAACAAAGGATGATCCTCCAATGCACACGGTGCATTCGGACCTCCCGAAATAGTCGGAAAGGAGCTGTACGGGAACGAAGAATCGTGCTTTCTCGTTCGCCGTCGATCGGAACTCGAGGTTCGCCATTGCTCGTTCTGGCCGAGAAATTGCGCAGTCGGTGACCAGTTTGTCGAAGCAGGAAGTATTCGAGAACACCCGAGTTGCATCGGATCAAGCGGGAGTCCTCGGAAGCAAGAGAGTCGAGGATTGGGCTCCCGCCAGGGACCGCGAGACATCATGATCGGTCTCATTGAAATACGATAGGATGCTCGCCGAGTTTTGCCTTGACGGCTGAAGTAATATATCTCCCGGCTGATGAAAGGTTAGGTATTCGGGATCGGTTACGTTTGACGGAACGGAGAGAATCCACCGAAGAAGATCTCGCGGCGAGGAAACCCCAGAAAAGATCTTCGATAAGAGGCATTCTCAGAAAATGCCGAATCATGCAGCGGCAGACTAATAAGTCCTCACGGAAGTGAGTATACGGACAAGTTCTCCGGCCCCTAAGTCATTGCGGACATCCAATTCTTCAATAGAGTTCCAAAGAGGATATCTTAGGTGTACGATCGAGCGGTTCAGAGGGCTTGTCCATTGAAGAGAGATAACATCTTCAGTCCCAGGAGGGACAACTCTTCCGGAGGGGTGAGTGGGAATCCCGCTGTGAGTCGGCTGCTCTTGACGGTTTATAGAAGGAATGAACGAACTTATTCAGTAGTCAGTCTCGAGCCAGGCTCATCACTTGAGTCTCAAGTCATCTATGGTCAGTAACCACGAACGAACAAAGAGGACACTGCCTTTGTGCGTCTTGCGAGACTGAAGATATGGTTGATCGTTGGTCGACCCCGGTGATAGGTTGCTATTCAGACTCCGTTGGGGAAACTCATCGCTCTGTATGCGAGGGACATGAGAATTTCTTTAGGACGTCGGCGGGAGACGTCTCCGGAATTGACTGGAGTCTACGCCAGAGCTGCGGAGGCACTGGAAAACCAGATCGCAAATCAAGTCTTCAAGATGAGCGGTCTGAGTCCTGGAGATCTGGAGAAGTTGTTGGTCGCGAGTCAGGGGGCCTTCAGAGGAATGAAGGACGACCCAGAAAACTGGTGCGAGCTCGCAGTCAGATCTCGAACCACTTCTAAGATTTCAACATAAATCCGCTTCTTCCCACCGATGGGCTGACTCATGATGGAATTGGACTTCGGTCATAAACCGGACCCTTCCAGGTTAATCTGGAGCAACAAAACAAACTGAACCCGATTCTCGAAGAAGAGGTGACGAGAAGCCTTCCACTTCGATGGAAAGCGAAGGACCTGAATGAAATCGAACTCTCGATCCAAGGGGTGGCGAAGTCGAATGTCTGGCGGGACACGAAAGAGCGCTGAAGTAACCTGCGGGCATCACATCTGAGCCCCAGTTTCTCCGTGAATTCAGTTTCTTTTAGCGATCGAAGGGATTGAGATTTTCGACGGGAATACACAATCACCGTCCCATCGCAGTACTTCAAGTATTCCGCGAAAACTTCAATTATTTGACTCGAAATTGCATTGTGAAGAGATATATGGCACAGATAATATCCCGAGTAATTCCTAAGGATCGATCGCGGGCCACGGGAAAAATCTCGCGGGCTACTCGCGTCCCGCGGGACACGTCTTTGACACCTCTGGTCTAGGCCAATGACTAGATCGAGGAGCAGAAGCCGTTCGCAACCGAGAAAAATGGAAGGGATAGCGACATACGGACTGCTTGGAAAGAGTCGAGGTAGCAATCTGTTTGCCTTCGCCGGAACAGGACAGCGACCGACGAGAAACTCCAGAGCCCTAGAGGGAAATACCGATGGATCGACCCGCATTGTGTCAGATGTGGCAGGGACACCATTCCCCGCACTGTGACGGAAAACTACCCCTCACCACTCCGATATCGACGACGAAATGGCCAGGGCGTTGGGCTTCACCAAAGGAATACACGGAAATCTTGTGAGGATATTTGGACGACTTCTGGGAATGATGCGAAATCGAAACCCGAAGATCTGCTGAGTAATCGCCCTGAATCAGGGTCGCATGTAGCAAATGATCGTCAAGGATGATCGCCCGAAGGATTCATCATCGAATTTGCATTTGAGGGGATTCAATCCTCTCGAGTGTCCGAGTTACACGTGGCAATCGGTTGTCTATGTAAATGAAAAATGGCCATCGAAGAGAGAGACACAAGTCGGGAAAAGGATGGAGCCGTGGCTCTCGAGAATGCTTCAGCCTTGATCGGCTCTTTCGAATACGATCTGAAGAGCGGGTTGACGTTCCAGCCGTGGTTCTCCGATAACGAACACAGCTTACAGACTCTCTGTGAGTATGATGAGGAGCGACGTCAGCTTCCCGTCGCGCGCTCGGTAAAAGTTAGTACACGCAGCTCCGTGGGAGAACCTCACCGAATGAGCCCGAAAGTCTGGAGTATGCTGCACTGGTCATCAAACTGAAAGACATGTTCGCCGTTTCAAAGTCTCTGTTCCGTCGTGGGTTTGAAACGTGTCTTCACGATCGCCACGCTCGCGGGGAAACCGCAGAACAGATCGCAAGTAACGCTATCTTGGGAGCGGATGGGTTAAGTTCTTTCTAATTGGACTCCCTTTGAATTTTCATCATGCTTCCTTCTGTTGGTCATGGAGAGATATGAGACCGGTACAAGCGATGCTGAAGTCAACCACAGTGCGACGAAGGAGAAGCCAACTCCGACCGTTTTCGCCACCTCGCTGCGAGAGCCAGCGAAGACTTCTCAAGCCACCGGTCGCCAGTCATTCAAGGAGCAAGCGTCTTGCGCTGTGCGTTTGCCGAAAACTCGTGCGGTCGAGAGCTGTCTGCATCAACAAGGTGATCAGAACTCCGCAACTTTCTGAGGGTCGGACGCTCATCACGCTCGACGTTAACGGGTCACCCATCGCATTCCGCGCAGATTCTGGGGCTAACATCTCTACCAATGGGATTCAGACTTGGACGTCCCTCAGGTGCATGACGCTCACTGATTTCGGAAGCCGATGCACTTCTGTCGATGGTGATGATCTCATGCTCATGGGCTATTCCATGGCGAAATTCACTCACAACGGTAACACCATCCAAGGACCTCTACTCGTTTTCATGGGGAGCAAATCGAGCCTGTTCTGCGGTCACTTGCTGATACAGCTCGGCTTGGAGGTCTGGAAAGTCGAGAATTCACTACCAGACGTGGGTCTCGTCGACTCGACTTCTCAACAGACTTCGAGTCGGGGATCGGGCTCTGTAAAGAAACCTAATGGCTTCTCACGGGTTTGCGCAGATTATTTCACCGGACTCGATGAAGCTCTCGTGGATATCGACGATTCGCTACCTAATATGAAGGGAGTCATGACCAAGTTCTCCGGAAACAATGTCCTCCCAAAGTTGGATGTGGCCGAAGCCTACTTAAAATCGATATATTCACCACACTGGGTGGTTACTGAATCGAGAAGAGACCGTATTTGGCTTGACGGGTTCAGTCGTCAGGAGGCTGAGCAGCAGAGAACTTGGACGATTCCAGATACAGCTTCCTGAACATTGACTCCCTTGGGCGGCAAGGTTTGAGGATTTTCCCCCGACCGCGAAATTCCCGAAACCATCCCGCCAACCTAGACCGTGATTATGACTCGAGAAGTTACAGAACGCTCTGTCTAAACTCACCTTCATTGTGGTTGTGATCACAACTCTCTCTTTCTATCACGTGCATGTTTCGGACTTGGACTATCGTTTTCTCTCTCGGCGCGATCGCGCACTCTATACTCTTATCGCAGCTATTCTCATTACGAGAAATTTAAAACTCATTCTGCTGTCTGGTATTTAGGTCTTGCACGTCTCCTCATGGAAACGTGCTCGGGTTCCAAGACATCAGCGGCTTCTCTCGTCTAAAGAGGAAACGTGGAGAAACACCAGAGATATCACGATACAGTTTCAGCTTAGGTTCATTTGTATTTGATAAAAGGGGAGCGGATCTCTGCAAGGTTTTCGGGGGCAGATATCGAAAGGTACTCTCGAACACTTTCAGCGTACAGTACTACTCCTTTCCTTTGTCTCTACTGGCGGGTCGCCATCTCCTCGTTCCTATATGCTACAGTCGAACCCGCTTATAAGAGACCTCTCGGGGAATTGAAAATGGTCTCTTATATCCGGTTTCTCTAATATCCGAGGCACGGTCTTTCGATGAAAAGACCCGAAACATCTCGTTCTCGTATGACTCGGATGCCGGTATCATGATCCTGTGGAGAGACGATCATTTTCGGAGCAATGATACTATCGAACTGGCGTGTTATCTCATTCGCGCAGGTTCCGAGAGGAAGAGGAGTCATGGAAGAGCAAACAGAATTTCTACTTGAGACGGTTCTCTCTTATATACGAGGTCTCCAACATGGAACTCTATGGGGCTGGGGTTTGAAAATTGTCTCTTACATCCGGTTTTCTCTTATATCCGAGTTTCTTATAAGCGAGGTTTTCAACATGAAGCCCTATGGAGAAAAAATCGGGGAATCGGGATCGGTCTCTTATATCCGGTTTTCTCTCTTAACCGGTTTTCTTATAGGCGGGTTTGACTGTATATCTACTGGAACGAATGGAAGATTCCGATAAGCTCCTCCCGGCCTGAAAATGCCAGAAGCCTCTACGGAACTTGC